CTCTCTCTCTCTCTCTCTCTCTCTCTCTCTCTCTCTCTCTCTCTCTCTCTCTCTCTCTCTCTCTCTCTCTCTCTCTCTTCGTCGTGGTCTTCTTTTGCAGGTGCACGCGGCGGCTTCTTCAACCTCCAGGTCCACTATGGCGGACTTCTTCTTCGATGGCTACTCTGGCTATGGCGCGTAGCTCTTCCTTGCAATACGACGGCGCGCGTGGAATAGCGGGTACCAGCTCCGATACCAATCGATCAGACTCACTCTCATTCACACCTCACATGTATGCAAACAGGTGCGCAGCAAACTGGCGACAAGCGCCCACTCAAAACTCAGAGATATAGTAGCCGAGAACACAATTCAGATACAAGTTCACTTCATTGGCTATGGCGACACAACGCCCACACAACTCTCTGTTCACACACACAGGATCACCCTGGATATCCCACACGCGTTACTCTCTACACACATACACACACTCACACTGCACGCTACCAACAGCTATGGCGGCTATGGCCGCTGATATCGTATCGCTATGGCTAAGCTTCTTCTCTCTTGCCCACTTCTTCTTCGGGCTCACTGCAGACCACCTCGCACAAGTCGCTCGTGGCAGCGCTTCCGCATGGCTCACGCAGGAATCAATGAATGGCTGAATGCTGCTCTTTGATTTATACTTTTGTAGCTCGTTGGTCAGGCCCTTTCCTTTGCGTGTGGTGCACACAGTCCCATGCGGTACTTGCTCGACTGGACTAGGACTGACTGGGACTAGTACTGCTGACAGCATGGGTTTGCACTACCAGCTCGATGCAATCTCACTGCCGACGTACTGCAGTTGGGCTCACCACTTGCCCACTTGCCCACTGGCCTCAGCCAAAACGTGAGCAACTTCGAAAGGCCAGGACCTTTCGGAAGTCTGTGTCCTGGCCTTTCGAAGACTGTAGGAGCTACGACCTTGACCCTTCAGGACTGTAGCAGCTACGAATTCTAGAACCCCCTAAGACTTCTACTTGACAGATCTACAGATCGAACCCCTGCTACCTACGGACCCTACGACAGTCTACCAACTGCTACAAATACACAGGTCACGGGTTCAACTCTCGGGGTCGACACAGATACTGTACACAGGTAGGGTGAGGTCTAGGGATCGAACCCTGGGATCTGCATCGGCTACTGCGAACTGGTGAATACCGTTTCACTCCCGTCGGCCTAAATTCGAGGTCCTCCGAGAATAACTCAGTTCAAGGCAGGACCTTTCCCTTTCTTATCTCTTTCATAGGCTCTAATTATGTCGGGAGCTATCTCTAAAGGTTTTGTTCTCGTAAACCAGCGGTCGTCCTCCGGCTCCTGATAAGCAAAATATTGTTTTTGTGGACGACCTTTACCTCCTGTCATGAACACATCTTCACCTACAATGCCGTCAATGTCATATCTTCCGTCCATGTGTGGAGGGATCATGGATCGTCTAGATGGAAACTGTTGACTTGTGACACTGCCGCAACTTCGATGCGTGAAACACAGGGTAGGTATGGAGGTGTGCTGGAATCTCTACAGTGTAGGACGACCCATCTTCTCCGCTCTTGACTTCTAGAACTGGCCACGGTCCTCTGTACGCAGGAAATAACTTCTGCGAGATGTTTTCCTCAGGAGCAAACTCTTTGGACTTGACCCAGACTAAGTCACCTACTTGGAACTGTGACGGGCGACGATGCTTATTAGCCTGCTCTATCGTTCGGTGTTGGGCCTTCCTGAGGTTCTCAACAACAGTGGCTCTCTCTTTCTCGTGCTGTATCGCGAACTCCCTGGTACCGGGCGGTAGCCTGTGAATTTGATCTCGGTTAAGTCCTTCAAACGGTCTACGTGGTCTAAAGGACTTGTGCAACTCGTTGGGAGTGTCACAGGTGGATAAATGCACGCTGTTATGGTACGCATTGGCGACCTTGGGTAACATCTCGTTCCAGTTAATATGATCAGGTCTAATGTACATGCGCAAAACTTGTTGCAGGATCTTGTTCATCTGCTAAGTCTAACCTTTAGTCTCTGGATGGCGGCCAAATGACATCAACAACTTAGATCCGTAGACTCTCATCAGTTCCTATCAGTTCTGGCTGGTAAAATGTGTATCTCTATCACTAGCAATAGACAATGGGAGGCCATGCTCACTAACCCAAAAATCGAAAAACTTTTGAATAACTAACTCTGTACGTGCCACTACAGGCAAAGGAACAAAAACAACATACTTGCTAAATCTATCGACTATAACCATGACTTGGCTCTTGCCGTGCCTACTCTTGAGACCGGTGTCCATAAAGTCAATGGACACGGAATCTCCTGGCTGATCAGGAATAGGCAAGGGTCTGAGAAGATCTAAAGGGGCACGCTGTCGCGCCCCCAGTGCTTCAAGGGTCTGGTTGGATATCCTTCCCCGGACCGAGCTCAGTGGGTTGGAGGACTGGCAGGCTGTCACGCAGGATTTTGATAGTTATAAAAAATAGAGGTGTATTCAGAGGCAGTCACACTTTGTCATATTGCCGAGTAATGAGGGTTATCCCTCCTGCCAGCGGCGACACGGCTTAGAGTGAGGCGTTCGAGTTTATCGCCTGCACCTGACCCCGTATAAAGGTTAGACTCAAGGTCACCGGAGTCCCTATCATCCAGGAGTCCTTCAAGCTGCTTTGAGTGTAGCCTGCTCATCATAAGGAGGAAAATAGCATACATACATACATCATAGAGCAATTGACACTGAGAAAATGAGAGGACCAGAAACCAGACTCTGCAAGAGCATGACCAGAGAAACGAGACTGAAGAGTAGTACACAGTGTATGCAGGGAACAGCTATCGGAGGGCTGCAGTCACTAATAAATGATAATGTCGTAATACATCATAGTGACTGAAAAGAGAGAACCTCAATTAATGATGATAAGTGGTACCCCCTCGTGAGAAAGTGTTGCCGTTTGGGACTCCGTATCTGGCTCCTCGTCATTGAGAACTCGCGTGGCTATCGACTCTGGAACCACGTAGCTGATGTCGAGAGATGCTGCTGGATCAATCTTGCAGATGTAGGCCATGCATCTAGCCATCTCCTCGTCTGCGACGCTCCTGAGATAAAGCTCCTCCGCAAGAATGATATCACCTGAAGCTCCAATCAATATCTCAATACGTCCTCTCCCACCAGAGTAAATGTAGGAAACCTCGAGAAAGCGATCTTCGTAAAGAGGCTTTCGATAAGCCTGCATAGCAAATTCTGTCCCGACCAAATGACTATAAGGGGGACCAATAACTGTCTCAGAAATAGGGTCGTCTGACATGTAGGAGACAATCACCCTCAAGAAGATACTGTGCAAGAAGATGTGTGATCGTCCTCAATGTCGCCCTCCGACGTCTCCTCTCACTGGTCTCCAGCGCTCCTGTCGCTGTCCACAAACTCAACCCCTGTGAGTGTCCCAGTCGAAATAATTGCCAAAATCAAGGTCACTAACAGAGCAGGGCTCCAAATCTGACTCATCTCTCTCCGATTTCGGGACACATGTAGTGATTGAGACTCCGGATCTGGTTCTCTCTCTCTCTGGATCCGGTCGTCCTTCCGCCTCTTCTCCTTGCTGCGGGGCTCACTAAGGGGCTTGGGGTTGCATCCGTCAAAATCGAAGAGCACACCCATAGGAGCTCAAGGTACGTGAGGAAATACCACGTGCAGCCAGTTGTCCCTCCAATAACTCTCCCTGCGAAATATGTAATCCGCGTTCCTGTCGTATGTGGTGCCCTTCACTCCCGTCTCTGCCCCCTTCACCAAATAGGTGATCACGAGCGTGTGTCTCGAAGTCGAGGACTCATTAGCCCTGATAGTGAAACTCTGATGTCCCACTTATCTGTAGCAGAACCTCTCAATCAATCTACCCCACTTAGGGGTAGTCTCACGACGTCGGGCCAACTTGGATGTAATGCACGCTCTCGCTGATGCAGATACTCCCTCCAAGACCTGGCCGGATAGCAATCAGCAACTCAATGTGGAGGCCTGTCTGAATGGCCTAACTGCAACTCGATATAGGGCCCGCCTGAATGGGCCCGGCTGAACAGCAACTCAATATAAAGCCCGCCTGAATGGGCCCGGCTGAACAGCAACTATCTCAGAAGAAAGGGCCCGCCTGAAGGGGCCTGGCTGAAAAACTGCAACAATCTCGAGAGGTGGGCCCGTCTGAAGGGGCCCGGCTGAACAACAATAATCTCAAGTATGCCCGCCTGAAGGGCCGGGCTGAACAGCAACAATCTCAAATAGGCCTGCCTAAAGGGCTCGGCTGAACAGCAATAATCTCAAGTAGGCCCGCCTGAAGAGTCGGGCTGAACAACAACAATCTCAAATAGGCCCGCCTGAAGGGCCCGGCTGAACAGCAACAATCTCAAGTAGGCCCGCCTGAAGGGCCCGACTGAGCAGCAACAATCTCAAGTAGGCCCGCCTGAAGGGCCCGGCTGAACAGCAACAGTCTCAAGTAGGCCCGCCTGAAGGGCCCGCCTGAACAGCAACTGATCAGTAGAACATCTCATGCACAGGGACCAGTCACAAATGCTGAATGTACTAGGGCCAGACTGAGCCAAGTCATCTGTGCGGGGACTGAACTGCCAATGCTCCCATGTGCATGAGGTGTTTGCTGATCAGCAAAGGAATAAATCAACGGGAGCGTGATGGCAAATCATCTCGGTCAGCAATCCTATGCTCGGGCGCACAAAGGCTCGCACTCAAACAACAGTATTTAGCCTGGGTGCACACATATCCAGCGCAAGTGCACATGGGCGCGCGCTCAAATAGCAATATCTAGCCTGGGTGCACACGGGCGCGCACTCTAACTGCTATGCCAGGCTTGGGTGCGCATGGGCGCGCACTGTAACTGCAATACCAAGCTTGGGTGCGCATGGGCGCGCACTCTCAAGCTTGGGCGCGCATGGGCGCGCACTCTAGCTGCAATATCAAGCTTGGGCGCGCGTGGGCGCGCACTCTCAAGCTTGGGCGCGCACGGACGCACACTCTAACGACAATATCAAGCTTGGGCGCGCATGGGCGCGCATGGGCGCGCACTTTAACAACAATATCAAGCTTGGGCGCGCATGGGCGCGCACTCTCAAGCTTGGACGCGCATGGACGCACAATATTTGGTCTGGGCGTGGGCGGGCGCGCACTAAAAATAATTATTTGATCAGGGCGCGCGCGGGCGCGCACTGAAAATAATTATCTGATCTGGGCGCGCGCGGGCACGCACTGAAAATAAGTTTCTGATCTCGGCGCGTGCGGGCGCGCACTCTAAAAAAAATTAATAACATTAATATTCTTGTCGCATGCTCAATCTGTTGGTGAAATGACAATCGATCTTTGCTTACTGTTTACAACAAGATTACCATATGCTAAACTTGGCCTTTACTTAGGGCAAGACCACTATCGTCATCAAAACAGTAAGTGCAAGCTCAAAATCAGCTATTTACTATCCATTCAGCTGAAATGGACACTTGTGCTTTGGGTCCGAAATCGGTCATACATGGCTGTCTGATTCAGTGCTCAGTTGAAGCACCTTCGATGCAGCTGAGACTGGTCCTGCTCAATTGAGAATAACTCTCTGACATGGTGTGCTTACTGCGTAAAATTCAGGAATGACCCTCACTCATGATGAGCACTGTTCAGAAATGGCACTGTTCAGAAATAGCACTTGCGAATAACACTCAAGTATAGTGCGCATACTGCGCACAGTTGCAAAAAAAATCAGATTTACCCCTTAAGTGCAGCGTGCAGGCTGCGCACAGTTGCAAACTCGGATATGGCCCTCAAGTGCGGTATACACAGTTGCCAACTCGGATATGGCCCTCAAGTGCGG